CTTCTTTTTGTGAACTTTATGTGTCTTTGTGGTTTACTTTTTGGGCATGAAAAGCTGGTTCATCTAAGCTTCCAGTTCTCTCTTTTGATCTTATATTGGAGTGGCCAGATTGCTTTTGTCTTCAGGAGTTCCCACAGAGGCTCAATTCAGGTGAGGGTCAGATGTTTTCAGGCTCTCTCTTAAGGTCTGGATCCCTCCAGGAACGATTTTGGCCTCAGGAATTTTTGGGTTTGGATTTGCCTGGGAGTCTGGCTCAGGAAAGATGCTGGTCTAGGGCATCTGGTGGCTGTGCCACCAAGAGATGCAAAGGGAGATGGGGCAGGAAGAGGCCCCAAGGCCTTCTGGGGACTGCATTGAGGAGTTGTGTTGGTCTGGATGCAAAAAATCAAGAAGAGGAAAGGTCAGGCCCAGGGTCCTATAAAGAGGCTGATGGGTAGTGCAGGCCCAGGGAAGCAGAGGGAGTTGAGGGTGGGGCCAGGCCCAGAAGCAGTGCTCCTGGGGCCCAGAGAAGGCACTCCGGTGGTCTGGATGTAAAGGATTAGGGAGCAGTATTGGTTCTCCAGGTGTCTGGTGCCCCAAGACAAGGAATGAGGCAGGGCCCAAACTTGGAGGAGAGAATGGCACAGAGATAGGAGGGTGAATGAGGCTGGGGGAGTCAAGGCTTGGAGGGTGCAATGGACTTACTCCAGAGAGAGGCCTGCGGGTAGGAGAGAGGCCTGCGGGTAGGAGAGAGGCCTATGGTGGGTCCTGCAGGCCCAAGGAAGCAGAGGGAGGTGAGGGCGGGGCCAGGCCCAGAGGCAGAGCTCCTGGGGCCCAGAGAAGGCACTAAGTTGGTCCGGATGAAAAGGATCAGGGAACAGTATTGGTTCCCCAGGTGTCACCCCAAGACCAGGAATGGGACAGGGCCCAAACTCGGAATAGAGAATGCAGTGGAGATGGGAGGGTGAATGGGGATGGGATAGTCAAGGCGCAGAGGGTGCAATGGACTTACCCCAGAGAGAGGCCTGTGGGTAGGAGAGAGGCCTGTGGTGGGTCCTGCAGGCCCAGGGAAACAGAGGGCCCTGTCTTATTCTTAATTTCAGAAAAATGTTTTCAGTTTTTTCCCATTTAGCATCATGTTGGTTATAGATTTGTTGTGTATAACCTTTATTACATTGAGATGTGTTTGTTTCATTATTAGTTACTTCATCAGGAGAGATGTTGAATTTTGTCAGTTTTTTTTTTCTGTCTACTGAGACTATCATGTGACTTCCAATTTTAAGACTATTTATCTGTTGCATACATGTTCAATTTGAGCAAGCCTTGAATTCCTGGGATGAAACCTACTTGGTCATAGTGTATTTGTGGTTTTAAAATGTTATAGAGAATTTTGTGACTGTACTTCATTGAGGAAATTAGTCTGCAGATTCCTTTTTCTCTTTCCCTCCCCCTCCCCCTCCTCCTCCTCCTCCATCCACTAGCCGATGTTTAGGCTCTAAGTGTCTCCTAAATGCATGAGCGTATAAAAAGCAACACACTGAGATCTGTACAAGCAGAAGATCTCTGTTTGATTCTTTTCAAACCTCCAAAGTATTTTCATTACCCAATGGACCCCTGGAGCACAGAGTTTTTTTGTGACTATCATATGTAAGTATTATATTTACATAATATCCTCCAACTTCTCTCATTCCCCCCTCCCTCAAAAATTTATGACCTCCTCTTCTTTTTCTTCTTCTTCTTTTTTTTCCTTTTTGGTCTTTTTGAGACCACAGCTGGCCTGGAACTCACTGGAGGCCAGGCTGGCCATGATCTCACAGAGCTCTGCCTGTGCCTCAGGAGTGCTGGTATTAAAGCCATGCACCCCCAGGCCCAGGTCTCATGACCTCTTTTTTAATATTTATTGTGTATTGTCATATATAATACACATACAACCTATTGAGAATCCATTTAGTGTTGCTCATATGTACAAGTGTTTACAGCTTGCCACTTGGAATTGGGTAACCTATCAGGGATCTTGTCCCAGGAGAAAGCTGATTCTCCCTCTCTTAGCACCACTGATTGCCTGAAGGAGCTTCAGAATTTTAGGGTCTATGGCAATGATCAACAGATAGCTGGTTCTGGTGGTTGATGTATTCACTGACCTTCTAGGTTCAAGGCTATCAAAGTTCAGGTGTAAGTTAATGATACCTGCTCCAGGCGGCCAAGGGGAAGCAGCTCTCTATCCTTTTATACCTCACTGTCTGAACCCAATCTTCAGCCATTGTACCCTTTTTGTCTTGTGGACTTTTGACTCTTTAGTTCTCCACCTCATTCAAAAGCTGTCTCTTAACTTGGGGTTATCAGGTATTAAATTCAGGTTTCCTGTCTTGTGGATGTTTCCCTTTTCCAGGACTCCAGAGTAGCATAGTTTCAAATAATATGTTTTTTCTCAAGATGTTGCCTGGCCCAGCCCTTGCCTTCAGAGTCGTAAAGCACAATAGAGCAGGATTCCTCTCCATCTGCCAGAGCAATCACCTTCTCACCAAAACTCATCTGAATTTTGGCCTACAAGCACCGCAGGCCTATCCTGAAACCCCTTTTCATCAGAGCCACAAGTCTTATTGTTTGGGACGAGTCTACTGCTTTCCTTCCTCTCCACCAGGAAATCAGTGTTTATCGTTGTGTTCAGATTGCTCTTACAAGGTCCACCTGTGTTCTCTGTTTAGCAGCCTATCACTAACTTTTGTGATTTTCTGACTTGTTCTTTCTTTGGAATAGAGTTGATTTATTTTTTCGTTCTGACTCTTCTCCTTCACTGTACCACATGGAGGCAACTTCTGGTTTACCATCTTACCTGGAAGGTCTCCATTTTAAGATCTTGAGCATCTGAATTGGTACAATTATTTGGTAAGAAGATTTTATGAACTGTTGTGATTTATAGAATTTATTAAATAATTGATGATGTAAACTATTGGTATTCCAACATTAAATTGTCTTAATTTCTAGTTACTGCTTTCTTAATACAGAATATGGGCAAACTCCAGATGAAACTGTTTTTTGGTCTTTCATTTTCATAACTTTTTTTTTAGTTTCTCACTATAGCCTAAACTACAGCTACAGTGCCCCTTTTTGTTAGTTGGAGTAATTTCAGTTAAGTCTTAACATGCGAAACTTTTCTATTTTGTTTCCTCCAGAGTCTAGTTATCAAAATTATATGAAAAATGCTAAAGATGTTAGTGATTTAACATATCACTCCTACAAGAGGGTACATTAGCTTTTTATCCCTGGTCCTCAGTTTTGAAATCCATAAGAGTTTTCGTTCTATTTCAAATACAAAGTCACGCTGGATTTGTTTCCTAGTCACAGAAACCTCAATCACTTTGTAAAAAGTTGTATTTGTTAGAAAGAACTTTTAAAAGTTCAAACAGTGCCTCCTATTCAGAAATGCACACTCAGCAGTGAAAGGTCTATGATTTTAAAGTTGGTTTTAGGTGCTGAGAATTTGTATTTCCAGTGTAATTAAAAACACAGGAAACATTCAGATTTCCTGTGGCAGGACGTTCTTCCTGTTCCAGTTGGGAGCCGGGGATACTAAAACACTGCATTTCATCTGTCTTCAACTTCGTCGAGAAAGGAATGCTACTTACAGACCATCTGGAGTTTGTCTGACTTTGATAATGTGGTGCAGAGAAGTTCTAAAAAAAGACAGGATTGTTGTGCCTGTTAGGAGCAGTTTGTTTCATGTTGTTTTCACCTGTAGTCCTGTGCCTTGTGTGGTGGTTTCTGTGTCTTGGGGCAAGTTAAGTGCAGCTGTTCTGTTCCAGTGCTCTGTGTGTGCTTGAATACAGTCTGTGCTTGTGAGAACAATATCAGACCCACAATGAGTCTGTGTTAACAAGTGTAATGTTCCATGCTTACAAAGAAGATTTTTACCCCTGGGAATTAAGCCCAAGGAATGGACTAGAAACAGTGCTGTTGAATAAAGAAGCTGTTATGTGTGGATAAGCTTTAAACTTTGAAATAGAAAATGTAACAAACAGCATTCTTGAACAGGAAGTTTGATTTGCTAGCTCGTTGTTGCCTGACAGGGAAGCTTCCACACTGATTTTTATTGTCTCAGGAAACTTTACTTATCTATTCATACCCAAGGCTACTAGACACTGAGGCAGGGCCTAGTTTCCTTGTGCTTTTCTGATGTGTTCTAATCAAATGGGGATCTCACAGTGTATAATACTAGAATATGACTGAGACGACACAGGCATCTCCCCAAAGCTTAAGAGTGCTATCTGTAATGCTGAATTGATTGTCTCTGAAATCTACTAAGATGACCTCAAGATTATTAGTAAACTTATAATTTACATGTCCTAATTTAGTTCTATAGCTTGGTCTTATTATTATTATTTTTTTCATCTTTTTAGATACTAGCTCAATCATGTACTGAAATCCTGGAATTGAGTCCCTCAAGTGTCTGTGTGGGGGGTAAGTGTTTAGAATTTAAAAATACTATGTAAGAAATTGTTTTTTCCTAGCTAAAATATATGATTTGAAACTCATGTTGGAAGGAGAATAGCAAAATTAACTTTTTTGGCATCTTTTTTTGTGTAAGAATTTTAAAATTATTCCTTGAAATATTTCTATTTTAAATTCAAATTTTTAAGATTGGAATGTTATTTTAAATAATGAGCATATTGTGTGACAGGCTTTTAGAATGTTCTATATATTTAGTTCATGTTTGAGACCTTTTCTATGGCAAATAAAGTAAAATATGGCACCTTTTATCTGATTATATAGAATGACTATCTGCAGACCTAGAACTCCATGCTCTAATGACCTGGCCAAGACATGATATCTGCCAGCTCAAGGCACATGCAGAAGTGTCTTAGGGATGGAGGGCAGGAAGAAAGCAGGTGGTTTCATCAGCTGCTGAGCAGAGCAGGCTCAGGTTTTCACACCTCCCAGACAGTCTGATTCTTCCTGGCCTATTTTCTTCTTTAAGTTTGACCTAGAGTTCATTTTAACTCACTTGATTTAGAAAAGAAAAAAAAAAGAGTCTTGTAGGAGGAGAAAGGGGAATATACTGCATAATTTACCACAGAGCCTCTCAGCCCTCTGGACATGTTCTTAAGGCTCTGAATCCATCAGACACCCTAAGGATGATCATTGAGATACTGAGCAGAAAGCATTCATCAGGACATCCCAGGGCAAAGGTGTCTTTTCTAAAGGTATAGATCAGTAGTTTCATAGAAATAACAAAGAAAAATAAATGAAAATCATATTTTAAATGATCACTGTTATTTATCAGACTCCTATTTCTTGCTCATTATAGACCACGTCCTTTGCACGTGCAAGTTGACCCAATCATCATAACAGTGCTATTTGGCAGTTTTGTAATCCCTGATTTGCAGATGGGGAAAATGAGGCAGAAAGAGTTTCAATATTTGCTACTAGTAACTGTCCTACTAGATCTTTATCCTTTTGACACCAGTGCCCATTCTTTCTGAGTTACATTTTAAGTGTTGCCTCTGTTTTATTTGAACTTACAAGTAAGCTTCCTATCATGACACGCTGAGCAGAGAGTAGCTTGGTAGGTTTTGCTTCCTTAGCTGATGACCATGTATGGGTTGAAATATGTTAGGAAGGAGATTTTTAAGAGGATAGATGGTATTAAAGTAAATTTAAATGGAAGAACCATCAGTGGAAAAGTCCAGTTAGGTCTCCTAAGTGGCCTTTGCTGGTTTGAAAACTTAAACGAAATTTGAACTATTCCTTATAAATGCATGTACTAAAGAAAAAACGGCCAAGCAGCAAATATTCTCTGCATATTAAGAGAGTTGTTGTTAGATTTTCTTCTAGCATACGCTTTTACTTTCTAACATTTAGTATCTAGTCTTACTTTGTAGATAGGTATAAGAAGTTAAATAAATTTCCTTTACTCAATGGCCATAGACGTCAGTAATTCAAATGACATAACCTCTACTGTATTTTAATTTTGTATACAACAGATGATGTAACAGATTGACAAGGTGGAGAATTTGTTGAAGGAGAATTCTGTGTGGGAGATACATAAAGTAAAGAAAATAGTGCACATGTATTTTCTAACAATCATAAACTATGAGTTATTAGTTTTCTTTACTGCCACAGACTTAATGCCTGAGAATGGAAAGAAAAAGAAAACAATCCTTTCTTGCTGAAAATTTTCTAAGAACAGAATTTTGAGAATTTTATATGAGATTGGCCTGGTAATGTATTTATATTTTAATTCTAGTACTTGAGTCACTACTGGAAAACACGCTATAAAAAACAAAACAAAACAAAACAAACAAACAAACAAAAAAACCACATTCCATGTGACAAGAAATGGTTTCTGCACTACATCCACTGAGACATCTGCCTGGAAATATGGAGTTCCATCTTCAATAGTATAGCTGACAGACAGTATGGAGGGTGTATCTATACTCCTTGATGCCTTTTTGCCTGTTTTTAGTAAAGCAATGATTACAGTGTTCATTTTTCTTTTCACTTCTAGAGGAATTTCAAGTTGTGTTGAGTGGAAGAGCAGTCATGTCAGGCAGTCGGGATGGTGGTGCTCTCTGTACCTTCACTGTGAATGCCACATACTCAAAGAGTAGGTCCCCTGGATGAAGACTGCGTTTTTATTTGTTTACATTGCTTTTTTGTGTTGCTGATCTTTTACATCTCTGGTGTTCACCAGAATAGTTTAGTGATAATTATATTAAGTAGATCTTAGTTTCCTGAGCATTTGAGTCTCTCTTAAGACAGTTTTCTTCACTGATGACTATTTTGGCCTCTTAAGTTTATTCTTTAATTATGAACTCTAATAGAGTAGGGATTTTTTTTTTTTGAGAGAGATTGAGCTACAGTTTTGCTGCTTCTCAGATGATGTTAAACACTCCAATTAGCATGGCTTTGGCCATACAGGTAGTAAATGCCAGTATGTGTTTGTTGAATTAAAATGGTGAGGATTTCAGGATGATAAATGTGGTTATTACTTCTTTTCCATGTCAGGAACACCATATTTTAAGGTAAAACAGTATTTGTGACAAAGTTCATAATAAATTCCACAATTGAGTAGGGAAGGCTCACTTTATTTTTTTCTCAGTAGTCCTTTGTATATAAGTGTTAGTTTGATCTGACTCCTTTTGATTATTTGGATTATTGATAATATATTATAAATATATTACATGTAATATAGCATGTATTTTATGCTTAAACTAGATAAGACTGAGTTTATTAAAGTCAGTTCTCAGGGGCTGGAGAGATGGCTCAGCAGATAACAACAAAGACTGTTCTTGCAGAAGACTTGGGTTCGAATCCCAGAACCCACATGGCAGCTAACAACTGTCTGTAATTCCAGTTCCAGGGGGATCCGACAGCCTCCTCTGTCCTCTGCAGGCATTGCACGACATGGGTGCTCTTACGTACATGCAGGCAACACACACATACACATAAAATAAAAGTAATAAATAAAACACTTTAAAAGTAAATTCTCAAATAAATGGAACAGAATTGGATTTTAATTATTCACATTCTGGGACAATCTATTTGCTTATGTGAATTTTCTCACTATTTCCAGTTTGAGATAGTTTTTTTGCACATAATGCTAAAATTATGGCAGGAATTTAAGCACTCAGTTTAATAGGAAATATGTAGTACTGCAGGAACAGCTATTTTGTTAATTCATGAAATAAGTTCGTTTTACTTAAGTATTAGTCTCCCTTTTCCCAGCCATCCTAAATTCTGTGTTTTAGAGACTATCTTTCATTTGTCCTTAAAAAAGTATGTGAGTATTTAAAGCGGGATAAAAGTTGATATTTTTATATATCTACAAGTGTATGTGAACTTAGTCTAAGTAAAGATAATTAATGTTTTATGACTACTCTTTATCAGAGAAGTTTATAAGTCTTTCCAGGTTTCATTTTCATTCCTTTGGGCTCTTTTGCTAATTTATTTTTAATGCTAATATTCTTCTTATTCTGTACTTGAATTCTGACTATAGAATGCTTTTCATTTTTGTATGAGACTCTGTGAGAGATATAAAGCTTTACTAATTTGATGGCACTTTATTTTTTAGACATAAAACCAGTAAGTGTACAGCACAATTCCATGCTTTGTCCTGCACCTGTCCTGAGTAAAGCTGGAGAGTAAGTACTTCAGTAAAACATACAACAAACTATTATAAAACAATACCAAATATGCATTGGTATTTCTGTTTGTGTATTTGTTTGTTTTCTTTTGTTTATTGAGGTCAATGTGTCATATAGCCCAGGCTATCTTCAAACTTCCTATGTAACTGAGACTGGCCTTATAACTGGAGGCCTCCTGCCTCCAAATGCTGGAATTATAGGCATGTACCACCAAGCCTGGCTACTGTTAGTTTTATTATGTGTAATTTTTACTACACAGAGTGAACACTAATTTATAAGTCAAAGTACTAACTAAATATTTCAAGTATGTTTTCTGTAGGCTGAGGACATGAATGCTCAGAAATTACTTAAGAACAGTTATTAAAAGGCTTTAGAAATATAGAAATATTAGAAATATAGAAATATTTTGCAGATACCTAGCATAATAAACATTAGGTATGTGAAAAATTTCTTTAGCTTTTGATATTAATAGTTGACTTATAGTTATAGAAATAGATGAGTTTGAGAATTATTGTTGAGCCTGTAGATAACCAGATCCATAATCATTATTTTGAACTTTAGGGTATTAAATTTATATATGCATGCACATGTGTACACGTATATATATATATATACATACATGCACAAACATGAGAATTTAAAGTGTTTAAATACTTGCTGTAGCATTTAAAAGTATCAAAGATAAAAGCAATTAAGGCATGTCCTTGAAAAGGATTGTAGAATCAACCTCTCTCCCTCCCTCCCTCCCTCCCTCCCAGTTCCTCCTTTGGAGGAATATTTCTAATGATTTTTGCTTTAATCCATATCCCATTTATGTTAAGGTCTATAGTCTTAGTTTTGCATGGTAGTAACCCATGATGGTAGCTGACTGTAATGGGAAATATTTAACTGAGAAGGGCTTTTAGTTGAAACATCTATGCACAAATAATTTTAGTACATAGTACTTTTATTGTAACTTTTTCATATCCCCTTTAATAGGCAATAAATATTTCCTAACAGTTGAGATATTCTCTAGTCCAACAGTAGTGATTACAGTTGGTCAGAATATTGAATAAGATCCAACTTATAGAATTACTTTATACTACTCTTTCACATAGAACAGAAAAATATTAGGATTAGTGTTCCATAGGGAAGATTATGTTAACCGACAGGGAACCAAAGAGAATCACTTTTAAATTATTTTATTTCCTCTTTACATTTGTGAATTACCATATAGGACCCTCCCGGTCCCCCTCCAACTCCTCCCATCTCCCCCCAACTCTGTCTCAATTTCTTGTCCTCTTTAATTATTATTGTGTTTGTATACATTACACTGAGTCCATTCAGTGGTGCTCATGTGTACTTGTGTTTAGGGCAGCCCATGTAGAGTTAGATAACCTCTCAGGGAGCTAATCCCTGGGGAAAGCTGATTCTCCTCCCTTCAGGATCAGTTGATTGCCTGTAGCTCTTCATCTTGTGGTGGGAGCCAGTGAAATGTCCCCAATCTACCTCAGCATGTCAGTTTGTTCTGTCATTATATGCAGATCTTGTTAGTCTACCATATTGTGGAGATTTCATTGTATATTTAAATTACCGCGAACACTTTGTTTTTTGGATGCTTATATGTTCAGTATAGCTATTGGACAACATTTTTGGTGATACAGATAAAATTAAACAGTACTGCTTTTCTATTTCAAATAGCTGAGTTAGACTGGCACTGGAAACTGAGGCAGGTTGAATTTGTGAGGGGCCATCTTAGTCCTAAGTGTACAGCAGCATTCAGTGATTTTGTTGTATTAGCCATAACAAATCTTTGAGTTTGGTCTGTTTTATGGATTTAGAAGGTTATATTTGTCTTCTTTATTCTCCCCTGGTCTGCTCTCCAAGTTGTCTTTTGCATTCTTGCTGTTGGTGACTCCCTCTTTTTTGTTGTTCAGGTCAAAAATCTTTGAATCATGATGGTTTCCTCTGCTTTATACCCAGCCTGCCAGTAAACTCTCTTAGCTCTAATTTCAAACTATGACTAGAACCAATCTTGACTCCCTACCTCCATCTCTGCCATTCTAGGCGGAGTTGCTGTCATCTCTTGCAGGGATGATTAATCTCTCTGCTGGTCTTTCTTCAGTGATCCTATTGAAAAAGATAGCTTTATGTCATTCCTCCAGTAAAGTTCTTGGGAATAAGTTCCTCATCCCTCACACAGGCTAATGTTTGCAGTGTGCACTACTGTTCTAAGGCCAATCTTCTCAGACCTCCTCTCCCATTTGTTCATCTGCTCTGCTATGGTCACACTGACCTCTTTCCTGTGTCTTAACCCATTGGTTTATGGTTCCATCAGCACTGGAACATTGTGGGCCCCTCTGCTTGGAATGTTCCTTCCCTCATGCCTTGTTCCCATGCCTTCTTCCAGTCTTACTCAAATGTCACCTTCTCAACAAAGTAAAAATCATTTTCTAGTCACCTTGTTTGATCAAAGAATCATTTCCCTTTGGGTGTGTTATTTCCTCTTTCCTTTATATGTCCTAATTGTTCTTCGAAGTAATTACTGTTTATTTTATCTCCTTTCTGCTAGGGTAAATGTTTTGTTTCTTGGAGAATCCCTTGCATTGTACCTAGTGCCTGACATAGGGTGAATTTGCTAAAGTATTTGATGGTTGAAAAGGGAATTAATTTTTCTCAAATGTTTTTGTTCACCAATAAATATAGAGCATTAAAAGAAGTGATTTTTTTTTAGTATACAAAATATTTTTCTTTTAATCTCAGTGTCTCTATTACAGTTTCCATTGGTCTCGTATTCATTCCTGGAATACAGTACACCCCAAATCTACTGACTTTCATATGTGGCAGCTGTATATGCATTTGTCTCTCTTTAACTGGATTTTGATCACATTATCTTAAGCATTTGTGATGATGTGAGATGCTCAAAAAATTGCATAGCAAACAATGTGACTTCATTTTTTCCTAATGCATCAATAACTAACCATCATGACCTGAATTTCTAAAATATACTTATAGCTTATTATTTTTTTTTGAAGTTTTAAAAGACTCCTATCCATGAATGTAAATCCTTTGTTCTCTGTAATGCTATCAACTATTTTCCATTAACAGTAGGCCAGTTATATCATTTGTCACAACAGGAAGTGATACCTAATGTTCATTGCATCCTCTGTACCTTTGCTGGTGATGTCTCAGTTTCATTAACTCTTTTCTCTGTGTAGATCCTGCTTACATACTTCCAAAATCTTCTGATACATAGCCTTAAGTACTTTTTTTTTAAAGAGGTGATTTGATTGCTGGTGAGGGGGTCTATATCAGGATAAAAAATGGTCAGAATTTTATTTGGAGGGCATACCATTCAAAAGAACAGAAAACCATGCAGTTTTAAGTAGCAGTTAATGTTTAAAGAAGACAATTTATTCTCCTGTGAGTTTTAAAATGAAATTATGTCTATTCTAGGCAGACATCAATTTAAAAAATTTAAAATTACCTTAAAAATTCATCTCTCTCTCTCTCTCTCTCTCTCTCTCTCTCTCTCTCTCTGCCCCCCCCCCCCCCCCTGTATGTGCACCTATCATTGTGCCTGTGTGGGTCAGAGGACAACTTGCAAGAGCTGATTTCTCTCCTTCCACCGTGTGTGTTCCTGGGGTTGAACTCAGGTCCCCAGGCTTGGAAGAGCCTTTACCTGCTGAACCATCTCCTCATCCCTCAGTGTTTTTCCTCTAGAGTTTGCCTTTGGGTGCGGTATCCTTTAAAATAGTGACTTTCTTTAATATTTTGCAGATACCTAGCATAATAAACATTAGGTATGTGAAAAATTTCTTTAGCTTTTGATATTAATACTTGACTTGTAGAATGTTTGGAGATAGAATCCATCTAAGTGAATTATTTTTGTGCTATTTTATTCTTTTGATATCAGGCACAAGATAATCATGGAGACATGGAGATACTGCTTTAGATGACGTTATCAGTGTCCTGGGTACTGGAGAACATTGGTTTTTTTTGCTCTACTTAGTACGTTGCAAGTAATTTAGACCTTTTCCTTTGCTTGAATTTTCTTCGGATAGTCTTATAACTGTAGAACTCTTATAAGATTGAATTAAACCAACAGAACTGAAACAGTTTAGCCTTGTAAGGTGACTGATGCCTAATATGTTTGCCTAATTACCTTTTGGCTAAGGATTCAAACCCATTAAATAGCTAGTTAGTCTGTGTTTCAAAATAAACACATGTGGCCCAACAGTGAAGGAAGGCTTTTCCTGTGTGAGGGTGACAGACGTGGTGATGGTTCCCCTGTTCTCTCACCTAAATAATTAACAACACACTGGTGAAGTAATCCTAAACAGATAGCCTCAAAGCCAGATGTGTGGTCTCAGAGCTGATGCATGGACACATGCCTCAGCTCATTAGCCTGCCCTATTGATTCTTCCTTCTTTTTATGTTGCATCTTTTTTTTTTAAAGCATTTTCTTTTCAAACTTAGTGCTTGTGGATTTTGATTTAAAAATGAGGACTCTCACTTACAATGTTTACTTGGAGGAACTAAGAATGAATAAGAAGCACTAAGATCTTTTCCATTCAAGTACTGATGTCATAAAACAAGTTAAAAAGACTTAAATGTTGGAAAAGGACTTCTGGGGGGAAGGAGCTTAGCAGGGGAGGGAGGGAGATAAAAGTTCTAAGCCTAGCCTTAGAGTAACCAGAATGCATTATATACAAGTATGAAGTCAAAGAACATATTACTTACAAGTTTCAAATAAAGAAGTTAAAAATATCCATGCAGCTTTATCTAGGAATATCCCAGTTGAGCAGAGTAGTCTTTGAGTAACTTTCTTTGAGATAATAGAGCTTACTAATTTCTTTTCTTGATATAGATTTTTTTTAGGCTAAGATGAACAAGTTCTTAGGCTATAATCAGAAAGAAAGTAAGGATGGTAGTAGTAGGGCTGTTTTTTAAAAATTCTTTTTATTGGACACATTTTCCTTTTAAAACATTCTATGATAAAGTATACTGTCTAAACA